ACAGAAAAGCAAAAGGAGACAAGGAAGATTCTTGTCTGTGGCTTGTGTTCTCCATGGGGGTAGAACATATGTGTTCTCCATATGGGGTAGAACAGGTATTGTTTGGGATCATGACTTCCAGGTAGTATCACTGAAAAAAAAAAGAAAGCATCAAAGAACTCAGATGTTCCTAGACCTTTTCCATTTCCCGGAGAGTGCAAAATAGGCATAACCGGGGAAAGCACAGCAGTAACAGAGCTAGAAGAGTATCTTCTAGAACACAGAAGGATGCAGGAGAGTCAGGTTAAGAAAGATTGCTTGACACATCTAACAGCTCTTTGAACAACAAATCAAGACAATGTGGACTTTCAAGGAAAGAATGCATAATGATTTGCTTCTACAGCTTCCTCCACATCTCAAGACCAATGCCATATTTGAGGTGGACAGCCATTGCCTTTAGATGTGATGCTCTGTAATAAGTAGAGTATTTCCTCATTCTCTTGCCTGTGGGAAACTGTACTTGTAAGTGTACAAGTTTGTGGATACCACATGCATCCTACCATTTCCTTTATACTGCAATACACATTCCCATGACAAAATCTTACAGTTTTCAAAAAGTGGCAAAACACTGTCAATATTTTATTTTAATGGCACAGTCATTGTATTGTTATGGTTTTTTGGGGGTGCATGGAATGTTTATATTTCAATCTTTCTTTGGTTGTTCTGTTTGGTTTCTGCTAACTCTCAGTTAATGGTGGCAGAATTATATTTCATTATCATTTACGTTATCATTCTGTTGTATGCATGCAACATTACATTTATAATTAAAAATTAATCTCCTATGAAATGCAAATACCAAAGAATCACTGACTTTCCCCCCTCAGAAAATGTTTAATGGCAGTTTACCTTCCTTGTCTTGTCCTTGATATACTCAAGGGCAGAGAGCAGCTCTTTAGAAGGACATAGACAAGCTGGAAGAATGGGCTCAGAGGAAACTTATGAAATTGAATATGGACAAAAGCAAAGTTCTGCATCTGGGAAGAAATAATTTCTGGCAACAATACAGGTTAGGAAATTACCTGGTGAGCAGCTATTCTGAAAAGGTGTCGTGATCCTAGTGGATGGGAAGCTGGATGTGATCCCACAGTGTGCCCTGGAGGCAGTGTAGGACAACTGCACCCTTGACTATAAAAGAGCAGGACCCTACCCAGGATCTCAAAGGAATACTAGGGTTTGTTAACTCTGTCTAAAACACCGTATCCAGTTTGGTGCTCATCAGTACAAGAAAGGCACTGATCATCTGAAGCAAGATGACCACCATGACAGTCAGGAGGCTGAAGCACTAGCCCTGTAAGGACAAACTGGTGGACCTGGACTTGTTTAGCATGGAGAAGGCTTGGGTGGGAGCAGCTAACTTCAATCTTCCAATACGTACAGAGGTTAACAAGAAAACCAGGCCAGGCTCTTCACAGTAGTGCATGGTGGCAGGAGGAGGCAGAAGGCTTAAGCTGTAATGATTGGATAGAGGCAAAATTTCTTCACCACAATGGGAGTCAAGTATCAAGCGCTGGAAGAGGTTGTCCAGAGAGGTTGAGCAGTCTATATCCTTGTAGGTTTCAAGACCTGACTGGATACAGTCCTGAACAAAATGACTCATGATTGACCCTGATTTAATCAGGAGGTTGTGCAAGATCATATAATCATAGAATGGCTTGGGATGGAAGGGATCTTAAAGATCATCTAGTACCAACCCTCCTGACATAAGCAGGGACATCTTTCAGTAGACCAGCCTGCTCAGAGCCCCATCCAACCTGTCCTTGAACACTTCCATGGATGGGGCATCTGCAGCTCCTCTGGGCAACCTATTCTAGTGCCTCACTACTCTCACAGACAGATGTTCTTCCTAATATAATCTAAACCCTCTTTCAGTTTAAAATCATTCCCCCTTGTCCTATCACTGCATGTCCATGTAAAAAACTTGCTCTCCCTCTTTTTTATAAGCCCCCTTTAAGTACTGAAAGACTACAATGAGATCTCCCTGGAACTGCCTCTTCTCCAGGCTGAACAGCCCCAACTCTCTCAGCCCGTCTACATAGGAGAGGTGCTCCAGCCCTTTGAACATCTTTGTAGCCCTCCCCAAAGACGACTGAAGTGCATTCCAACCTGAATCCTATTTTAATCCCCTGTCTGATCCAATTAAAGAGGCACTATGTTAGGGTTCTGACTGTAATTTACCTCTACTTCAGCTGGTTTTTAGCAGCTTGGAGCTATGTCTGTTATTTTTCTACAAGTGAAGGCATCAGAAGGAAGACTGAGGGAACTCATCTCACAGGGTTATATCGAAAGGAAAGAGTCAATGTACACAAGTTGCAACACAAGAAATTCTGGCTGGGCAGAAGGAAAAAACTCTTTACCCCTGAAAACAGTTCAGCAAACATGCCTGGAGGAAAAAAAAAAGAAAAACGAAAACGCTGGATGAGAAACTGAGCAATCTAATCTAGATTTGAAGTTAGGCCTGCTTTGGTAAGGAGACTGGATTAAATAACTTCATGAGTCCTTTCAAACCTGAGTCCTTCTATGATCCTACAATTTATGTACTAGGCAGCACTCTCTTTCACTTCCATTTGACCATTCCCTGAAAGAACGAATTTGTAACTCAAGTCATGTGTCCAAACCTCTCCAGTTTCTGCCTTTTTGCTGCTTGAAATAGTGGCTGATGAGAATCAATTAATCCAATTATGTCTTCTTCAGATAAGCTGTTAGACTGCACACAATACATAAGATATCCACTGAAATCTTTGGATTGTAAGGGTTTTTAAATTGTTGTTGCTATAAAGAGTCTGGCATTAGCATGTAGCTTCCTGATAATACAGTCACTCTAACAAGCTATGTTTTCACTGTAATGAAGATATTTTTATCTCAAGAAAGGCTTACATTAATTGTCAGTCTAAACATACAAAGAAAGGGAAGAAACACACAACATAAATCTCAATTCTATCCCATGCTTCAAGGCATAGCAGCAGAAACTTCGTTAAAACTTTCGTCTCCTAGAAAACTGTGTGTTGTGCTAATGTAACTTCAGATACACTTATGCAAATTCTACAACAAACCTGACCATTATTTTAAAAATCCACAACTGGCAGTAATAAAAATAGAAATAGGTGACTCAAAGAGGCCAATGTTAAACATAAAGCATTGCCAGCATCTTTTCAAGCAAAAAAAGATGTTCAACAGACATTGAATAGCTAAGGTGGTAACAGAATCCCCCCTACCTCTATCCGATGTATATATTCATAAAGAAAGGCAGGACAGGAAGGATACGTTCCCCACAATTTTTATGTGCTTTCCAACAATGTCAATACAAATATCATGGCTGAGAAAAGATGCCTCGACTTCCAGAAAGCTCCTTTATTCCAGAAGCCTCATATTCATGCCAGTAAAATACCTCCTGTGATTCACCACAGGCTGTTTGACTTTTTAACTCAGAAAAATAACCTTTTCTAACTCTGCATTCAGAGGCAAGGTCAGCACAGCCAGAATCTGGATATGTATCCTGCCTGACACTCCCTCAGAATTTGCGAAATTCATTTTCAATCCACCTGTGTTGTTTTTGGCATGCTGCTCAACGAAAATCCTTCACTGCAGGATGTGCTTCAGTGACTGCACACATGTATGATGACTACGTGGTTTTTTGATGTTACCAGGCCCCTGGCTGACTGATGTAGCTGCTGTTACTGCCTGCTTTTCTGCTCAGCAGCTCCCATCCTAGATTATCTGCACCAAAAGGCTGGGGTCAACTACATTCATGACTGTAGTAACTCTCTTACTAACTGGTCCTGGAGCTGCTGTTGCTGAGGCTTCTAGACCTCAGTCATAACATGAAGCTGCCCATGGGCCCTGAGTGCCCGCAACAGGGTGCAGCTCTTATTGCTGCTCTCTTTGCACTGCACTGGCTGACCATGCTCTATGCACGGTGTGATGGTCACGTCTGCTGCCATGCCTGGCGTCAATGTGGCATCAGTTCTTTAAAAAGCTGCATGTGCAGAAATGAATGCATGTATGGGCTCAAGTGTACCTGTGCTTCACAGGAAAATGAAGAGTTGTATTTCACAAGAAAATGATGGGCTGTTGTATTACCAAATTACCAATAATTACAACAAATATTTCTTGGTAAAGCAGAGGCCCATTACTATTAAGGCCAAGAATCAAAAGAACTATAAGACCAGGTGGTGGGATACAGAGCAGTGGAGGGCGTATCACGGCTCTGGTTGGTGCAAGGGACTGTTAGCGGTAGTGGATCTGCTACCTGTACTGGTACAGGTACTGATACTGTGACTGGAACTGGTACTGGGCCTGGAGCTGTGCCTGATACTGGTGCAGATACTGGTATAGGTACCTGAACTGGTACTGGAATTGGGACTGGGATAGGAAATAGGCCTGGTATAGTGTTACTGGAACTGTGATTGCAACTGGGACTGGAACTGGGACTGGAACCAGGCCTGGCACTGGTACTGCTACTGGTATTGGAACTGGGACTGCCCCTGGAACTTGGCCTGGTACTGAGACTGGGACTGGAACTGGGCCCGGAACTGGGACTTGAAGTGGGCCTCGTACTGGTATTGGTGCCAGTCAGTACTGGTACAGGAACTGGGACTGGTACAGGTACTGGCATTGGTACCAGAACTGGGACTTGTATTGTGACTGGGACTGGTTTTAGTACTGCTCAGTACCGGTACTGTGGCTGTGCCTCAGTCTCCCCCTCCCTCGCCTCACGACAGTGGCTCCACCCCTCGCATTCACACCACCCACTCCGCTGTCATTTGCATACCCAGCGCTGACGAACCAATGGGGCGCGGCCCAGCGCGGCGGTCGCCCCGCCCCTTCCCCGGCCGCCGGTAACGGAAGCGCCCGGAGCGGAGCGGCCCCCGCGCGCGGCATGTGGGGAGCGCGCCCGGGGGGGGCGGCGCATGCGGTGAGTGCGGGCGGGCCGCGGAACGGAAGGGAACGGCCGCTCCTCCCGTCCTTCTCCCTCGAGCCCGTGCCCCGCGCGCCCCGCAGGCCGCTGCCCCTCCCGCCCCGCCCCGTCGCCGAGCGCGCTGCCAGGTTGCGCAAGGGGGTGGGGGGCGTTGGCCACCGTGTGTGTAGGAGCGGCCTGCGGCCCCAATGAGGGGCTAGTGGTGCTGTGCTTGGCTCGATTGCCCGGCCGTGCCCTTGAGCTGCAATGGACTCGGCTCTGGAGGGTTCGGTGGCAGGTGTGACTGCGACGGTGGCCTTCGGCAGCACAGAGCCGGTGCGTGGGGGTGCAGGTGGGAAGGGCATTGTCATTTCACCTGGTGTCCCGTCCTGGTGCTGATGGTGTTCCTCCTCGCCTCCCCTGCCAAGCCCTGCACGCTACCTCAGACAAGTCTCCTAATCAGGTGTCGTGTTCTCCGAGGAAGAGCCGGAGAATCCCTTGGCACTGCTTGTGTTTCCAGCAGGGAATTATACCAAGTTGGTGTTTGTAGGTACAATGTGCCAAGTGGAAGCAGACAGCACAAGAATACAGAGTAGCCCATTGGGATACTGTTATATTTTTTACCATGAGGGTGGTGAGGCGCAGGTTGCCCAGAGAAGCCTGGATGCCCCATCCCTGGAAGTGTTCGAGGCCAGGTTGGATGGGGCAGGGTGTTGGACTACATGGTCCTATAAGTGTCCTTCCAGCCCAAACCATTCTGTGACTCTACACACTATAAAGCATGTTTATCATTCAAACATAAAGTACTTCTAGAAAAACGAGGCAGTGCATTACCAGTAGTAGTAAGGCCATTCAGTCACAGCATACAACAAGCATTCATCGTGTTTGGAATGATGTTTTTCCTGCCAGAGTAATTTGTTTAATTTGAGCTGTTCTGGTAACTCCTAGATCAGTAGAAACAGTGCTAATAAGTCCCTCTCAAAAAGCTACTTCATGCTTAATAAATGGTGTGCGTTTAATATTGAATTAATCAGTAATTCCCACCAGCATGTTGGATTTGTGTCACCTTTGAGAACAGCTTTCTTGGTTTTATGGCTTTACATGTTCATGCCTTTGGGTCATTTCTCCATGCTTCTGAAGTATCCTGGAATCTATCTGCTTACCCTAGACTTTGTGAAGAGGGTAATATGTAGATTAAATGTAATATTTTTGAAAGCTATGGGAATAACTGTCTCCCTAGTAAATTGTTTATTCTGGAGGTTGTATTGCCCCTGGAGGACTGTGTGTTGACAGGCACTGGTAATCGTGCCTCTCTGCTTGTAAAGACATGTTCTCTCTTGTTTGAAAGGTGTTACTGATTTGATTGATCAGAGTCAAGGCCCTGAACCAGCAGTGGAATGGAGCTGAGGTCTGGCTGTTTTAGTGGGAATATGAGAAGACTTAACATTACCAAAAAAGCCTGAATTGCTTTTGTCTTAGCTTTAAAAAAGTGCAGGCTGCATCTGCCTCTCTGCCTTCTCTCTGTAGGGTAGAACATAGCCAAATGCTTACTTGAGAAAAAGAATCAAGTTGAAGATGAAAGATTATAGTCAAAAACTGTTGGCCAGTTGTGCTTTTAACACCAAGTGAATGTAGGTTCTGTGACTCTGTGTTGCTGTGAGGAATAGAAGAAGTGAAGAAATGTTGGCAGATGTCCTCTGAAATGGAGAATGATTTTCTTACCTCTTTCAAAATATTTTTTCCATGCAGCTGATGTACCGTTGGTGTAGTTCTGCTTGAACTTGAGGGAGCAATCCATGTGTGTAGCCTTGGGCAGGCTTCCATTTGTACTGAAGGTTTGCCCTCAGTTTCTGCAAGTTAGGGATGTGGAGGTCCACTTCTGATTCCCTGTTTTCTGAACACTCTTTGGAGTTTTCGATGATTATAATGCAGTCTATAGCTGTTATCACAAAGAAGTATCTCAGATTGTTTTTCAAACAACCACTAACTTGGGAAAAGTAGGGGGGAGGGAAGGGTAATGTTAGAAGTGCCTTCTGCTCTCCCGCTTCTTTAACTCCTGCCCCCGTAGCACTGTCCAGGTGGTTCTTGCCTCTAGTTTCCAGTATTTGTCTTCTTCAGGACCTTACTTTTTTCTGGGTTGAAGTGATCAGGAAACAACTGAAGCATCTAAGATATAAACTGCATATTGTTTGACTTACTTCTGCTGGAGGTTATTGTTTCACTTCTTGGAAGCAGAAGTGAAATTGAGGAAATTTTTGGGAAGAGTGCCAAAGTGTTTTGGTTAAACAGTTAAGAGTGGATAAATTGCTGACCTTTTCTGGGAGTAGTGCAAGCTTCTTTTTCTGAAAGGTTTCCCCCTAACTTACTTAGAATTTTTGCTTGGGAAGGTTGTTGCAGAGGGTTGACTTGTTAGGAAATACATGCAAGTGGAGACAAGCACTTTCAGAGTTTTCAGAATTTTATTGGCGAATGAAGAATGAGCTGAAATGTGGTAGGGACTAACAGGTTCTTCTAAAGGTATTCTAGCAGAGCTCTGGTTGGCTTGAACTTGTCTAGCTGCTGTTTAAACTTCCAGTTTGCAGTATCCACACCATACCATGAATAGGAATTCCTCTGGTTCAGGAAGTTTATCTTTCACTTTTTTTGAACTTGACATTTGCAACCTTCAATAGGTGTCTCCATTTGTCAGAAAAAAAAAGGTGATTCTTTATTCCCTGTTTGGTTTTGTCATGATTTTTAGACCTCTGCTGTATCCTTTCTTCAGTCCTTTTTCTTCCATCCTGCAGCACCTCAACTGTGGTAGTCATTGCTTGTGTGGAAGCCACTCTGGCTTATGCTGTGAACCTTCTCTGTAAATACAAGTACAGAGTACCAGTAATTTTACTGTGTCATTTTTAAGTGGGTGTATTAGAGGGGGAAACTGTCCGTCATGCATTGAGGAAGGATAATGTAGTGTGCTCTTACACAGTTAAATAATTATATTCTTTGACTTAGTTTTGAAATTTTTTTCTTACAACTTTTGATATCCAGTCTGATTTGTTCAGTGTTGGTGAACACCTAGTAGATGTTTTCATCAAGCTGTTTGATGTAACCCCAACACATAATTTCTGAGTAGCAGGTAATGGAGAGGCTGTTGTATATATCTGAATAGCCTTGATCCTTCAACCATCAGTGTGAAATTTAGCACCTCTCTTTGGTATGTTAAAGCCTATAACTTGCCTTTACTGGCATACTTTACAGACAATTAAGAGAGTTTGGAAAATATTTAACTAACTTAAAGGATTTAATACTGTGTAAGTAGCAAATTGAGAATTTTCCTCTGAAAAAGAAAAAAAAACAAATATGCCCTCCATCTGCCAGGATTTTTTGTAAGTATTGCAAATGCACTTTATTTTGCTTCTTTATAAATTTCTCAGATTAAATTTTTTTTTTGTGTATATGTGTGAATGTTTCAGGAAATGCTCCAAGGACCATCAGAAGATGTATTTCCAAAAATGGAAAGTCCAGTTGAAGAGATGGATACCTCTGATACCCAGTGGGGCTGGTTTTATTTGGCTGAGTGTGGTAAATGGCATATGTTTCAGGTAAATCCCTATGAAGTTATATTGGCTGTGGTGGATTTCCGTACATCCAACTACCTATTGCTGAATTTGTCTAAATGTGCTTTTTCACTTATTTTATTTATTTTGAAGACTGATTCAAACAGTCATTGCTCTATTAGCAGTGAAGATATTGAAAGGAGTTTCCGAACAAACCCACATGGTTCTCTGTCTTTTACGACTGCAAAGTTTAACTACATGCTGGACTTTTCAGGTATGTATCTTTTCATAGAGTAAATTTAAGTAATGGAAAGTGCCAGATACACAGCACATTTGTTTATTTACCAAGTTATTGTCCTCATATCTAGTGCAAAAACATTTAATTGAAAATGCCACCTTTACAGGAAAGTTCATATGAGTTTGTAAAAGCTGCTGCCCTGTTACATTTTTGTAGTGTAATTTATTACTGTGCTAGCATGTCTTGTTTCATAGCTGTCCATCATGTTACTTGCTGCTTGCCTCAACTGCAGGTGGTGTGTAGCATACATCGATTAAACTGTGAAGTTTGAACTGTTTTTCTTTAACATGCAACTTCCTGTAAGCTTGAAAAACCTCTTCCATTCGGAGTCTGTTTAAGAAACATTGCTATGAAGGAAGTTTTCTGCAAAATACTGGCATCAAAGTGATTTAATAATTTAGCAGGTAGTTGAAGCCAGTTCTGTTCTCAGAATAATAAGGAGATAGGCAAAAAGATTTTCTAATAAATTGTAAAGATCTCACTTGTGTCGTTCTTGTTAGTTACAGAATATTACAGGTTTCTAATGTATGCAACTAAATATAAATGTAATCTGTTTTTTGTTCGAAGATGTGTTCTAATAACTTCCTTTTTTTTTTTTTAGTTTTTCCATTTGTAGATTGTTTATTTTCTGATTAAATTACAAAACGGCTATATGTTTAAATATAGGAAATCAAGGAAATAAATATGTATTGTAATATACTCAAATTTCAAGTATTTCAAATACAGAAAGTGAGGACTGGGTAAAATAACAATGTACTGGCCGTAAAGTAGTATGTAACAATACAAGGAGTTTTTATGTTTACTTGTGTTGAAATGTCTGTTTAAAAAAACTGTTTTGCATCCAGAATAAAAAAACTAAATGCAAATATTAAAGAACAATTTTTGTCACTGTCTCTAGGTCATAATATCTTACATTAAGGATAGTAGTAATATTCTTTGTCATCCTATTAAAGTCAGTGGAAGTTTTGCCAGTGATTTAGAGAAGCTGAATTTTAGATGGGTATTTTAAAAATAAACATTTTGTGTGTGATAATTGTGCGTTTTTCCAACTCATAAATGACAATGCATTCAGAAATATTTATTGAAAATGCTGATTTGTTAATTGCTGAAAAAGGAATCCCTGTCAAGCAACCTAGGGTGTAGTAATGTTATTTTAAAAAATGTCACGTAAATGTTTCCGATGCTATAGATGAATTCTAGAAATTTTCATTTTAACTTTTGTTTTATGTTCAGTGATGAAACAAATCAACCTGACTACCCTTAAGCAACGTCCAATAAAGCGAGCTCCCTTTTCTATCAATTCATTCAGGTAAGGAAATAAAAGGAAGACTCCTTATTTTTATTTCATTCCTGATTCTTTTAAGTAAAATGAAACAAAAATGTTTTGTCTTTATTGTTTATATTTATTTGCTTTTTGCATGAAACAATTTGAGAGGTGAACCAACGTGTGAGAGCTAGTCAAGTGAAGAAGGAAGACATTTCATCGGTGACAAGATACTTTTTAGTTAATTTTTTATCTTTTGTTTTCTGAGAAAGCAAGGGATTTGTATTGAGAGAGGGAAGGCATGCTGTATACTTATATCCTTTGTCAGGGTTCTTAAAGCTCAGCTTGACTCTAGCCATTGGACTCACTTGCTCCTGTTGAATCAGAATTGGGGCAGTTTGTTCCATTCATAAATTATTTAGAACTATTACTATAACAGCAAAAAAGATTGAGTTATATTTTCTTGCCTGTGTTTTAGTCATTTGCTCTAAAATTATTTGAAGTTAAAGAAATTGTGTTGTAACAACCAGATTTTTTTAGTCTAATTGCTTTAGTTTTTTACCATTTGATCGGTCATTAGATGTAAAGCCCCGCTGATGTAAATCTGATGCTCTCTAAACAATAAACTGAACTATCACAGGTGAAATTGACTACGTGGAATATGTGGGGTTTTTTCCCCAGATAGTTTCTGAGAAATAATTTTAGTTCTGAATTGTAGTCTGATTATACATTCAAAATGAAATTTGTAATTTTTCATAAGAAATGTACTAGCCATCTGTTTACACTTACTTTCAAGAAGGCTTGGTTTTTTTGAAGTGTTAGCTGTTTTTTCACTATATATTTGCTGAACAGTGCATGCAATGATGTGGCAATTTACCTTTTTTTGTTTCTCAAATAATTGCATTCAGTACTCTGATTTCCATGTGATGACATTGTTTACTTTCAGGTGATTCCTTCTTTTAGTCCCAGTTTTAAGACTTAAAAGTTGCTACAAATGCAGTGCATATGCTTAAAACACTCTTTTTTAAGGTTTTGTTGTTTTGTTTTTTTCTTTTAAATAAACTGTAATTTTCAAGTGTGTATTTTTAAATGATGCTTTTAACTACTTCAAATGAGGGCTCAGTTTCCAGATAGGCTAGTTGTAATTCCTCATAGTTTGGAGTGTTTGGACTGTGTGTTCACTGTCACATTTCTAAATCAATGTTGCTCTTGTAATGTTGTGGAACTTTTTGACCACTTCTTCTGCTTTATCTTCCTATCTTTTGTTGGGTAGATGGTGTATTAAAACTGTTCATTGCCATGGTTTAGTTATAAAAAGCTAAGGCAGAATTTGAATACAAAATAAGACCTCTTGCCTTTGACTTTACCTGCTGGCAACAGCCTTGGTTGAATTAAAACCCTGAGTAGTTCTGCATAAACCTTGTGGGGTTTTGGTTTTTTTGCATACTGTATTGTTTGGAGCAGGAGTTTGACAGGAAACAAATGCCTCATGTCTTTAGTGTGATGTATTTTTACCTTTTTTGTTTGAAGTTTCATCTGTGAAAATGAGGCTATCCCTATGCCTTCGCACTGGGAGAATGTAAATACTGAGGAGCCATACCAGGTAAGAGTTGGTATGCAAGTTGGTCAAAAATGTGGGATAATGAAATAATGCATTGAATTGAAATCGTACTAACCTCTTTTTTTCCAGCTTATTCCATTGCAAAAGAAAACAAATGAATATAATGAAGTTTCTAGTCTCTTTGGAAAAACAATGGATAGCCACCGAATTAAAAGAATTAAGAGAATACAAAATCTAGACTTGTGGGAGTTTTTTTGCAGGTGAGATTATTTCTAAACCCAACAGTCTTAGGATTGTTAATGGAGCAAGTTTTGAAGTTATGTAGCAGAAATATGTTTAATTGTTTTTATTATTAATGAAAATTTGTGTTACTTTTTATCTTTTAAAAATTTTCTTATTTATCATTTCTCTCTATTCAAACTTCCATTTTCAAGACTCTGTAGCTTTTACAGGTGCAGAAATGTAATACTTGTAGAAATGCATTAGTTATAGTGTAGCACAGATAAGACTAATGCATTAAAGATGTTCAGAATGTCCACATGCCCATAATATTTACAGTGAAGTAAGGAAAACAAAACCAAGCTTTTTGTAAAATAATTCCTTGAGAAGATTGTAGTATTTTAATTTTTACTGAACAAAGAAAATGAATATTTGTGTCTTGTTGAGTTTCTCAACCTTATGAAACCCAGGACAGAATTAAGTGTCTAGTTAACACATATTTCTCCAATTTCCTTAAGTTTCATGTGCTACAAAACCTTGTTCTGAGTTGTTGGCTTTTCCCTCTTCATGTCGTACTGGCCTGGAAGAAGTAGGAAGTGCTCAGTTCTGCATCCACTTATTTTGTAATATCAGTCTTAAGCAGTTGTATTTGACAAAAGTTTTTTGTGTAGCCTCTAAGAAGGAGTACATATCAGAAGTTTTAAAGATGTATTACACTAATAAAACCAACTGAATTAAGTTAAATAGTGAAGAAATAACTAACCAGATGTATATTAAAGTAAGTTTTGTGATTTTTTTTGAATAATATGTAATTTATTGTTAATTGAGAGCTATATCACTAATATGTATAAGGAAATTATTTTCCTTATAATGTTGATGGTTGAGTTCTCGTACTCTTAATTAAGTTTGTTTATTCTTGGAGAAGTAAGGAAAAAGGTCAGCAGAACTGCTGCTTGGCTTCAGAGGTCAGACTTCAGCTTGTTTAGAAGGCTGTTTGACAGAATCCCTTGGGAGACAGTCCTGAAGGGCAAAGGAGTCCAGGAAGGCTGGGCATTCTGCAAGGAGGAAATCCTAAAGACTCGTGTCCCTGTGTGCTGAAAGACAAGCAGTTGAGGAAGAAGACCAGCCTGGCTGAACAGAGAACTTTGGATGGAACTTAGGGGAAAAAGAAAGTTTATGACTTTTTGGAAGGAAGAGCAGGCAACTCAGGAGGATTAAAGGATGTTGTGATGTTATGCCAGGAGAAAATTAGAAGGGCCAAAGACCAACTAGAACTTAGTCTGGCCACTAAGACAATAAAAAGTATTTTTATAAATAAATCAACAACAAAAGGAGGGCTATGGAGAATCTCCATCCTTTACTGGATGTGAGGAGAAAAGTAGTCACAAAGGATGAGGAAAAGGCTGAGGTACTTTAAATACTGAGGCAAAGAAGGCATTAATAGTAAGACCAGTTGTTCTCCAAGCACCCAGACCCTGACCTGGAAGATGGAGACAGGGAGCAGAATGGAGCCCCCATAATTCAAGGGGAAATTCTCAGCGACCTGCTACACCACTTAGACACACACAACTCTAGGGGCCAGATAGGATCCACCTGAGGCTACTTGGTGGAAGTGCTCACCAAGCCATTTTTTTACCAGCAGTCTTGGCTCCCCTTAGGAGGTCCTAGCAGACTCGTGATAAGCAAATGTGACACCCATGCACAAGAAGCATCGGAAGGAGGGTCTGGGGAACTACAGATCTGTCAGCCTGACTTTGATGCTGTGGAAGGTCGTGGAACAGCTTGTCTTGAGTGCCATCACACAGCATGTACAGGACAACCAGGGGATCAGGCCCAGCCAGCAAGGGTTTAGGAAAGGCAGTTCCTGGTTGATCAACTTGTTCTCCTTCTATGACAAGGTGCATGAGGGAAAGGCTGCAGATACTGTTTACCTGGACTTCAGTAAAGCCTTTGACACTATTTCCCACCGCATTCTGGAGGAGCTGGCAGCCCATGGCTTGGACAGGTGCACTGTTCACTGGGTAAAAACATGGCTGGATGGGTGAGCCCAGAGAGTGGTGGTGAGTGAAGTTATATCCAGTTGGTGGCCAGTCACTAGCGGGGTTCCCCAGGGATCGGGGTTGGTGCCAGTCCTCTTTTGTACCTTTATTGATGATCTGGACGAGAGGATAGAGAGCACCCTCAGTCACTTTGCAGACAGCACCAAGCTGGGTGGGAGTGTTGATCTGCTGGAGGTTAGAAAGGCTCTGCAGAGGGATCTGGACAGGCTGGATCAATGGGTGAGGCCAGTTGTATGAGGTTCAACAAGGCCAAGTTCCAGGTCCTGCACTTGGGTCACAATATGCAGCACTACAGGCTTGGGTAAGTGTGGCTGGAAAGCTGCCCAGCAGAAAAGGACTTGGAGGTGCTGTTTGACAGCTGGCTGAACATGAGCCATCCATGTGCCCAGGTGACCGAGAAGGCCAATGACATCCTGACCTGTGTTAGAAATAGCGTGGCCAGCAGGACCAGGGAAATGATTGTCCCTCTGGGCACTGGTGAGGCTGCATCTCCTGTGTTCAGTTTTGAACCCCTTACTACAAGAAAGACACTGAGCGTGTCCAGAGAAGAGCAACGAAGCTGGTGAAGGGTCTGGAGCACAAGAGTTACAAGGAGCAGCTGAAGGAACTGGTATTGTTTAGCCTGGAGAAGAGAAGGCTCAGGAGGACACCTTATTTAGCTACCTGAAAGGGGGTCGTAGTAAGGTGAAGGTCAGTCTCTTCTTCCCATATAAGAAGCGACAGGACAAGAGGAAATGGCCTCAAGTTGTGCCAGGGCAGGTTTAGATTGGATATTAGGAAAAGCTTCTTCCCTGAAAGGGTTGTCAAGCATTGGAATGGGCTGCCCAGCGCAGTGGTGGAGTCACCATCCTTGGTTTAGTGGTGGACTTTTCAGTGTGAGGTTAATGGCTGGACTCAAAGGGTTTTTCCAACCTAAATGACTCTGTAATTCTAATTGCAAATTGATTTGGTTATATTTACCTTGTGTAAATATTAAGGCTTATTTGCTTGGCCTTGTGTTTCACCATCTACCTTCATAGAATTATGTTTCTGTAGAGGTATATTTATACATATCTTAATTTCTGACAATAGGAGTGGCAAGCAGGCTTCAAAGTAAATGTTCTTTGAGTCTCCAGTGTAGATGGCAGAGGAAGGCTAAGGAAGACCTTTTTTTGCTTAGTTTAAGAACTGATATAATTTGGAGACTGTACTAGTTTTCATGACTGGTCAGTGAATAGAATTCATGGTTTAAGAACTCTGAATCTATGGATGCTGTGCCAAAATACTCTTAAGGTATGAAACTGAGAGTGGGAATTAGAATTTCATATGTCAGGAGTATTATAGTATCACCATATAATTGACTACAAACCAAAGTACTTTTTTAGTACTTATACAGTATAAAAGTATAGGGAGAAAAGTACTTCCAGTTTTAAAATATTTTTTCCTGTATAAAAACAATACAAGTAGCAATGAAAATTACTAGATTAAGTGTATGCAATTGAGGCTTAGCTGCTTTTCTTCTGAGGGTAAAATACTGCCTTGGAATAGATGGGCTTACAGACACTGGTGAAGACATCATTGCCTGGTAGTATATTAGAAAGTAATAGGTATTCCAGCATTTCAAATTCCCTAGAAGTTCATTTGGTGTCCCAGGTAGGAATGTTAAAAAGAAGGTGAAGCTTAGTCTAGCATATTTTTGTTTATGCATCTCAGTTGGAGTTGCAGAGGAGTACAGCAAGTAAAAATGGTCTTGGTCAGTGAGATTACTTAAGTGCTTGCATGTGTACAAAGAGCATCTCTATGGGTACTTAGTTTTGCTGTAGGTTTTTGCTTTTATTGAGCAAACTGGCTGTACGAAAATATTGTGAGTGGTGGATTAATTTTGTTGAACTGGATTAGCTTGTCAATGCTGGTGAAAAGTGCTAAGATGATGCTTTTTAGGATAGTTGGGCTCCTTGATTTCTGTTCCAAATTAACAAAACATCCTGTTGTGGCATTTCTTCATTCTTTCCCAGTGTGTCCAGTATATTCTGCTACTTATGAGGAACAATTGCTACTTAAACTTTCGTGGTTTTGAAAAAGTGTTTTGTTTAATTGATAAGATCAAGGATTACATTTGAGCATTGCTTGAATGATTATTTGCATCACTATAGTGGTCAAAACACATTTGCCTCTTTCAGTAGTTCCCATATTAATGACAATTCTAAATTGGTTTTAGGAAATAAACTGGTCAGAGATAGTGCAGGACTGTTACAGAGCATTCTTTGACAATTGAATATTCACTTTTTCTATATATTTGTTCTGTTCCCCTGTTTCAAGAGAAGTTAGGCTACATTATGTATTGCCAGAGATCAGAGGGCTAATAATAGAAAAATTTTGAGTGTTCAGCACTAGTAGCCCTTAGATTGAAAGGTGTTTCCTCACACAGGTAGTTTTCTCAAGATGAAGGGAATCTTGGCTCTTAGGTTTAGTTGAACTGCTAATAGAGTGGAACTTGAGTGCCTGAAGCCTGTCTGTCTCTGATAAAAAAATATTCACTAATAAGATTAGTAGTGAAACCTCCCAGATGCCATTGAGATTATACTGACATTCTTCTGATTTGGAAAGCAGTTGTAGGGAAAAAAACATGCACAAAAAAGTGAGTTGCCAAGACATAGGTATTTTAGTTTGCACTGAGTGGGGCAGAAAAAAACCCCAAACAAAATGCTGAACAATAAAACAGATAAAAGTATCATTCAAACTAACTACTGCAAGATTTTCACTTCTGTGAAATGTACTTATTTATAAATAATGCATAATAGCAATGTAATGCCATTAATATGATCAAGAGTCATCCCTGTCTGTCTCTTTCTCTTTCCCTGGCTGTTTTTGATAAGACTTCCCAGATTGCATCTAAACTCTTTCCCAATCCAAGCATGCACTCCAGTTATAAGCAGATTGCTTAATTTGATAAGCCTGAGTGTGTGGCACAGTGCCCCATGCATTGTAGCTGTTATTGGAAGAAAATTCAGGTACACAGATAAGAACAAAGCAATGATGTGCTCTGACTTGATTTTGCCTGGACGGTCAAGGGATCATAGCTATGAACAGCTCAGTGAGTTAGACACAGCTGCAGAGTCAACTTCTTCATGGATCTTAGGAAAACCCAACTGACAGAAAGTCACTTAAAGATTGATGGAAAATATATCTGCTCTTTAATTGGAAGTGTGCTATGGCTTTCTGTCCATGACATTAATATACATTCACCACAAGGTGGCTTTTTTGGAGGGTTTTTGTCCAAAATTTTAGACTGACGTAACCCTGCAAATGCACAACTATGTCTTTTAAAAAGTATTAGTGAACCATAAATTCAGAAAACCATTATGAAGTGATCATGTGGAAGTAAATTTGCCTAAAACATTAGGTGATTTTATTTTTAATATTTGCACAATTTACCTAGGTAATAGTACTTTATAATCTACCAACTTTGCTATGCCTCCCACCATGCTATTTAAGTAGGTGAAGGGAACAAAATGTGAGAAATGTGTGCTTTTTTAAAAAATGTATCTGCAGAAAATGACCACACTAAAACTAATGCCAAATGAACCAAGGTGATAAATTGGTATAAAAACCCCTATTTTCTTAATCTTGGACTATGTCTGAAAATAGTCCACAGTATTCAGAAAAGTGTGATTTCTAAACATGTACCTTAATAATTCTGACCTGTTTAAAAACTAGAACCATCTAGGCATTTGTCAAAGTGGACTGTATGCAATGCTTTAGGTTTGTCCTCTGTGTAGTGTTTTCACAGTAGTAACTTAATGTGATTGTACAGCTGTTTGTAATGCTGTATTGTGTGTTTTCTGTAGGAAAAAAGCTCAGCTGAAGAAGAAAAGGGGTGTCCCAACGATTAATGAGCAGATGCTATTTCATGGCACCAGTAATGAATTTGTTGAAGCAATATGTATTCATAACTTTGACTGGAGAATAAATGGGATGCATGCTGCTGTATATGGAAAAGGTAAGTATAGTTATCACATACAACAGTTTGGTAATCCTAACAGTTCTACATTGATAAGTGTTCCTTATAGATTATACTTGGTGATGCACACCCTCTGTTTGTCCAAGAGCTGTTTAATACAGCTCTGCTTTTACATTAAGTGTAATTAAGAAAGTTAAGATGCAGTAATGAATGTAATCACAACTGGCTGGTAGGACCAGGGAGCACGGGGAAGGGATGCCCAGCAAAGCAGTGTTGATCACAAGACTCCCTACTAAAATGTTCACACTAAAAATACTTGGTCATGTTGCTATAATTCAACAACTTAAATAAAAGAAAAAAAGGATTGCTAATGAAGATAAAAGAACAGACATTTTTCATCATCCTGGTACCGATATCCATGCTCTAGTGGTTAAGCTGTCATGGTAAGAATGTGATCAGATTTCTTTTTTTTTATTTGAAAGGGACCTACTTCGCCAGAGATGCATCATATTCCAGCCATTTCTGCAAAGAGACCATGAAGCATGGAGATACTTTCCAGATTCATGGCGTCAATCTGCAGCCTCATCTGCATAGACCAGATAAAGTCATGTTTCTTGCTCGTGTATTAACTGGTGACTATATCGGTGGGGATTCAAAATACATAAGACCTCCTTCAAAAGATGGAAGTTTTGTGAACTTGTATGACAGCTGTGTGGATAATACCTGGAACCCAAAGATCTTTGTCATCTTCGATGCCAACCAAATCTACCCTGAGTACTTAATAGAATTTTGTTAAGTTTGAACTGAGTATTGTTTGTGTCTTTTTGATACTTTTGTTTCTTTCATAAAGACAACAACATGAAAACATGAAGCATTAAAGGAGAGAGGTGAAAGAAAAGGTGTCATACATTTATGGAGGAGGCAAGCTATTAAGTACATAAGAGAGATTGGTGAACTTTTTTTAAAAATATGTAAACTTTATTCATGCATTTTTCAAATGTAGAGACTGTTAGAAATTTGAGATTGCTTAGTGATCCTTAAATACATTGGTTGTTGGGAAGTTTTCAAAGGCAAGATTTTACATTCTGATTTTTTAAAAATATGTTAAAATTATTAATGTGGTAGAAATATGCCTCTAATATAGTATGCATATGATGAAACTAATCTTTTATAAAGATTGTCTATAAAACATAAAGTAACAACAACAGCAAAACCCCAGGGAACTTGGCTAATTATGTGTGTTTGTCTGTGTTCTGTATACACGTTGCTTTGTGTTTGGAGGTCTCTTAGTTTGTATTCTAAATGTATTTAAAAAATAAATTTATAGCACCTCCATCAGTTTTCTCCAGATAAAGTTCAACAAAGATGTTAGGTTTAACTTTAGGTACATTTTACTGTAAGCTTCAATTATATACTTGCAAAATTACAAAGCCCTTGCACTAGGATTTGAACTTTGATTTTGACAGAATTGAGGCCAGTAAACTTTTGTGGTTGTTAATTGTTTTGTATGCAACTGTTGAGCTCACTCTTGGGATATCAGCAGTGCCATACACCTTTCTGAGTTCTTATTCTATGGAATTTTTTTCCATCTTGTTACAGTATTTATGTGCTGCTGTGGTTCCTGTCTGGTTGGAGTTTAAGTAGCACTCAGTGCTCATGTACTTACTGATACTGAAGACAATGTTTAGATTAACTTTACTGGAAATAATACAATTAAACTAACAATGAAAATTTCAAAAGATGCCATCCTTTAAACACTTTAATAGAAAGGTTTCCATAACTGTTGTGTTGGCCAGGTTTTCATAGCTGGTATAGTTAAAGAGTATTTTTCACATGTAGAAAGAGCCAAAGAGACAATATTTGAGTAAAAAACAAACTTGAGTACCTAAAAGCATGAAGAACCCGAAGAAGGGGCTGTTGCAGTGAAATGCACTTACCTGTTAAACAATTTGCTATGAAATTGTGTTCCTTGTGTTCTTTGTTAAAGGACCTTAGTAGCACTAATGAACAAAGCTGAAGCCTTTTGAGGCTTTTTCTTTGACTATGACCTGTAACAATTCCCTGTAGAAATAGTATGTATTTGTGGCAGATATAGAATGATCTGTATTGGTCTATTATAGAATTGTTAATTGACGTATTGGATCAAAGGCTCCGTTGCAAATCTGTTGTATTTAAAAGGCACTGCAACTTCTGGGATGACCACGTCTGCTTGAAGTCATATTAAACCGATGGAACTGGAAGCAGAATATGACTACATATCTGGCATCATAATTGAGGACACAAATATCTCCTTAGTGCTGTTATTGATGCCTGTCAGTTATCTTACACAAGCTGTATGTCTGTTTGTATCTGTAATTTCATGGCAAGTTTTCCTTTTGCTTCTATCCCTTAACCATTTAGGGCTAAAATGCATTTTCCTTTATTTTAGGAAGTATGATTTCTGATCCCAGTTGGGAACTCTAGGTTCTACTGTTGTAGGTATGATTTGTGTTTGATTCACTACTACACTAGCTGTGCAAAAGGCACTTTGTTCCCCACGCTGTATAAAAGAATAGCAGATCACACAGGGAATTTGTGAATTACTGAGTCCTTTGTATTCTGATACAGTATTCTACAGAGCATACATTTTGTGAAACTAAAAAATAACGTGCTGTTGTTCCTTTGATTTGGTCTTTTTTTCTTCTTAGATCTGAACTGACCTTTTTAGTTAAGAAAACTGAAGTTTCTTTTTTAGCGTCTCATGGACACAAAATACCATAATCTATACTGATCTTAGAGACTTTTCCAATTGTTTATGTGGTGATGTCTTGTTTGCTACTTAATTCAAATTGAATGGCAGAATCTTAATCTTACCAAATCACTGCACAATTGAAGTTTTAGCTTTTCTTTCAGTGCAGTGTTGTGCTTTTTGGTGTCTATTTTTGTGCTGCTGAATTATGTTATTGAAACTGTCTGTAAAGTAACCATCCTTTTTCTGGCAAGGGGAGATAAATTATTATTGCAAAGTCCAGAACTGTACAAGTAACCAATACAGGAGATAGTTGGACTTAATAAAAGAATCAGTGAGAGAGGAAAGGAGGAAAATAATTTCTTGGCCTATGGAGTATTAAAGAAACAAAAAGGGATTTTGTTCTGATTCTGGGGAAGGATACCCGCTATTTTCTGTTACTATTTCATATAGTGAAACTTTATGCTCTATTTTGTTTTTTATACCTGTGCAAGAGTGCATGTCATTCTCTTATGTGTCTTGATCCAAGGTAAAGCTTTCTTACTGAATTATTCTTATGGCAGAAGGTTTTCACATGAGCACAGCACTTAAGTATGATATAGAAATGATATCAGCTCATAGTGGCCTCCTGGGCCAGCTTTGATTTTTAGAATGGGTGTGTACGCAATTATTGCTGAACAGAGTAGTTTGGGACAGTCTGCAATCCAGTTCATTTACAGGGCCCATTTGTATGAACTTGGTGACTTAAATTCCAGGAGTACACTGAATGCCAGTTCAGGTGGTTTAAGGACAACTTGCATCCTTTTTAAACCCATTATAAGCACACAAGATCATAGCAGGAAGGCTCTAAGTGAGTTTGTGCCATCCATATAGGGAAATTAGTTTCAGGAAGATGAATACGTCACTCTTAAAATTCCTTTGACCTAAATGTCCATCAGTGTTGTAACTATTATTATTTTTAGGCACTGTCTAAAACAGCAGGCTCTCAGAACAGCACAGGTCTGTTCTAGTGTAGCCATCTACTCTTCACAAGTCACCAAAAACCTATGAGGACTGACAGATGAAATACTTTGTAATATATTTGCTTCTCCCATGCTTCTCTTGCTTTTCTCTGTGCCACAACCCCCCAGAATCAGTGGGGGTGTTTAGAGGCATAATCTTTGAGCAGGCAAAATAAGAATGTGACTGCTTGGCTGGTTTTGGTTTTTTGTTTGCTTTTTTTTAAACTGAGACAGATGCAGTCATTGACATGATTTTTTCATAGAAAAGCCTATGTCAGCAAACCATGCTGAAGGTCAAATATGGATGTTTTTGCAAAATACATATATTTCATAGCAAATGGACTGGGGGACCCTGGCCCAGATCCTTGGCCTCCCAAAGTCGCTGGTTAGTCCAGCTTAAAGTGCTGGTGAATATGCAAACACCCCACCCAGGCACACCAAAACTGGGGCAGACGCAGACTCCCCCCACAGCTGGCACCAGGCACACAGTGACCCATGGTCCCGCTCCAGCGGTGCTGAGCTCCTTGCTTGTCTCACTCATGCTGTGTCCCCGACAGCTGGTTTTGGGAACAGATGCTGTTCCTACCCCAGTGGCTGGGGAAGTTCAAGACCCCTGCTAGCTCCAGTAGCTGACATGGGGACTCCACTCACTCTGGTCACTGGCATCACTGGTCTCACCCCAGGAGCTGGCACTAAATTCCCCTCATGCACACAGTGGCTCGACAAGTTGCTGGCATTGAGTGCTTGCAGCATGTTCACAGGGGACAGAGAGATTCTTAAGAAAAGATTTCATAAGAAGGTAGAAGAAGCAAGACCAGATTGCATTGGGCAGGCACGGGGCTTGGCCAGACAAGTGCATTGACCAGCCCACTGGCCCCTCTTACACCTCTTTCTGCCTGCCCTCTTTGTTCTCCTTGGCTCCCCCTTCCCCTCTGCATCCCCCACCCGATGTGTGTGTACAGCTCCATCAATTCCTCCACCCCTCACAGTCCGGTCCCCTGATATCAGTTCCAAAGTCCAGGCTGATCTTCCTGGAAGTGGCACCTGTGGTTTCTTGATAATCCATCAGTTAGTGTGAATGGTGAGGTTAGTTTTTTGTTGTTGTTTCTGTGTTTGTTTTGACAAGTCTATGTCTCAGTGTATTTTGTTTCTGCTTTCCCCCCTTTTCCCTTAGTTTTCTCACTCCTGGGTCCCCAGTCAGATAACCTTGCTGGAATAAACTTCACACTCTCGCGTGCCCTTATCAACTGATGTGACTGACCAGGTTTGGTTCTCATCACAGCCTCCCTTATGCCATCAGTCAGATTTGTATCCCCTTTCTTGTTCATGTTTCCTCCTTTTCTTATTGTCCGTGTTGCATTTGAAAAGGTCCTTGACCAGATTCCCTTAAAGGAGTAGACACTCTCCTTCCACATACTCCTACAGATAACTGCGCCATACATGTCCTGCAATTCCGGTCCCACATTTGTCCTAACCTGGGGACTTAGTTGAACAGGTCACATTTCATTCCTGTGGTAATGAATGTACTTAGGATTGTTTGCACAGTTTTCATCCTGATCCCTGGACAAGAGACAGCCAAAGGGAACATAAAGACTGGAAGCTTGCAAGTTCTTTGGATTGGATTTTTTAATTTTTAAGGGCCCACTTGGATGTACAGAAATAGGAGAGTATTTGCAATAAGCAAGAGAAAAATTGCAGTGTAATGAAGAGACGGTGTAAGTATGGGGAAAGGATAAAGAAAATAAATTCTACCTATTATGACGGTATCAGTTCCATGGAATACCATAAAATGAGTTTCTCTTCCTTGTATGCTTTGAGCTGTTAAGAGTTTGATACTACTGGCATGTTAAGGATGGCAAACCACCTGGTCCTGGATGTTTGCACACTTATTTGCAGACATTTGAAGATTAATTTACTGCTACTACTTTTAGAGTCTTTTGCAAAAGGGATTGCAACTCCACTGCTAGAAACAAGTCTGAAGCTATGCTCTTCTCAACTATTGACGTTAACTAGAAATGCCATTAATGTCCGTATTGATATTTTGTATGCCTATTGCCTTAGAATGTCTTTTATGGGTTTTGTTTGTTTTGAGGTGGGGTTTTGTTTTATTTTTTGTTTGTTTGGGGTTTTGTTTGTTTTTGTTGGGTTGGTTGGTTTGGGGGGTTTTTTGTGTTTTTTGTTTGTTTGTTTGTTTCAGTATTTTCCTTCCTAGAAAAGCATTTTTTTTTCTAAGAGGGATAAAAGATGAACAAGAAAGGATAAATGTATTAGCATTTGAGGAAGCTGCTTAGTCCATGTGCTGAGAGTGCCCTTATCACAAAGGCAGGTAGTGGGAATGACATTATGTTTCCTATCTGAAGCCAAGAGCAGTTAGATCCATTTCCTGTTTCAGTCTTCCAGCCAATAAATGCCAAATTTAAGTTAAAGGGAATGAAATCATATTGATACCAAAAGGAACAACCTTAAATATTTCTTCTCTTTGCTCAGGTTCTCCACTGATATGGTTTTCTCCCCTTTGACTAATAAATCAATGTAATATGTAAACTAATACAGGTGGTATCTGACTCATGTCCTAGTTTC